GGAGTGCAATGGCGCGATCTCGGCTCACCACAACCTCCGGCTCCTGGGTTCAGGCAATTCTCCTGCCTCAGCCTCCTGAGTAGCTGGGATTACAGGCACGTGCCACCATGCCCAACTAATTTTTTTTATATTTTTAGTAGAGACGGGGTTTCACTATGTTGACCAGGATGGTCTCGATCTCTTGACCTCGTGATCCACCCGCCTTGGCCTCCCAAAGTGCTGGGATTACAGGCTTGAGCCACCGTGCCCAGCCGACATAACTTTCAAATCGGGTACCAGCCAAAGAGCTGGCTGACCCAACAGGCAGAGCACTAATATGGGATGGGGCCAGGGTCACTTAAAACAGTAGTCATTCCTTTTGGCTTTACAATAAGATTGAATGAAAAGGGTTCACTCTTTCCGTAGCGTCTTTTCTTTCACATCTTTCCTTGGGACCTGGCTGAGGGCCCTCCTGATACTGAATGCCTCCCCACCACCCGGTTTCCACACCAGCAAACCCTCTCTTGCCCTGAATGAGTCAGTCTCTCTCTCTCTCTCTCTCTCTCTCTCTCTCTCTCTCCTGCAGTTTATTTCTGGCTTTGGCTGTGAGCAGCTTTCAGTCTACTTTCAGTTCTCCTGTGGAGCTTCAAATAATACACATGCATCTGTCATTCTTAAAATCTCACTTGAACCACCCCTCCTCCCACCCAGTTGTTTATCAAAATGACTTAGGAGGCCTCAATGAACTGATTTGGCTCTGCTGCTGCTGCTGCTTCTGGTCGGGCTGCAAATGAGCAGCGTGAAGACCAGAAGGCCTGCAGCAACAGGGAGGAAGCGAGGAAGGAAAAATCTACACAAGGAACACCGAAATTCTCCAACAGGCTAGAAAGTTACCAGTGGATGGGGTTCAGTCGTCCACACTGCCTGTTGTCCGATCCTCCACGCTGGGCCCAAATCTTCTTACTTCAGAGAAAAATGGGCAAACTCCCATGCTTCTTATGTAAAACCAGAATTAAAGCACCCTTTACTTACTGTTTTAGTATAAACACAATGCAGAGATTCTTACATAATAAAGAACTAAGAGTAACACTTAGCAACCATGGCTCGCAGCCCTTCTCAGCTCCCCAGCATTCCTTCTAGAGATATGAAGCCTGTCATCACCAGCCAGGCAGAGGACAAACATTTCCAATAAAGATAGACAACCCATGCTCTGCAATGCCTCAGCCAGAAGTGTGGAGTTGTTTTTAATTTTTTACATACTCCATGCCTCTGGTGCGTCTCCGCCTCCACCTCTAGATTAATGAAAAACATTCTTTCCTGTGGGCATAAGTACACGAGTGCAAACACACACACACACACACACACACACACTCTCACACTGAGGTTCTCCCAAAATCCATGTGCCCAGTATCAGTGGTGTCTGGCAATGCAGCAGAGCCTGTTTTAAGATGGAAGCACTGTTCTCCCCACACGCTCAGGGTGCTGTGGCTCTCTGCCCAAGGAATAGGCCTGTCTGATAAACTACTGCATCTGCAAGATTTCTATCTCACAGAGCAGTCATAATGACAGGACAGCTTGCTAGCTCCTCAAACCCCAGGGGATGATGGAACTTAAATAAGATACTAAGGATTAAAGCGAGGAAGCATGGCAGAATTTCCGAGGCAATAGCCAATTTGAGGTTTCAATACAAATAGCAAGTTTTGTTTCTTACCTCAAAGGATGGAGAGTGGAAGAGAACAAACTGGGCTGTCCAAGTAAGGCTTTGAACCCAAGTTCTGGAGACTTTGTCCACGATGCTTGGATGAATGGAGGCCTGCCCTAAGCTTAACCACACCTGTGACTGCCTTCCTATCCTCCCATCCTCTAGCTGTCCATCCTGTCTTTTGATTAAATGGAGGCAGTCAGGCATACCTTTCTCTTAATTTTATCTTGAAGTTAAGGCAAAGACAAATAGCAAAGAACATATTGCCTTATTATAGACATTCAGGAATTGGATCAGTAGGCCCTTACCCATCCTAGGTGGAGGAGGGAGGTGGAACACAGTTCTGCTCTGGGGCAGAAAGCTCTTTCCTACTTGTCACAAAGGTTCCCCAGGATGGCTGGGACTGTTTGGTCCAGACATTACACCCAATGCAATGATCTGGTTAGACTACGTGGTGATTATAACACATTTTGGATACTAGGGAACCCTGCCTGGGGCTGCAAAGAGCACTGAGCTCAGAATCAGGACCAGGCTCCCTGACTCCCGGCAGGTCTTAGCTCTCCGTATCCAAGTCCAGTGTAGCCTTGAGCATTGGATCACTGCAGGTCCCAGGCTCTGCCCCAGAGCAGCTGAATAAAAATTCCTGGTGTTGGGGACCCAGGACTCTGCCTTTTTACAAGCAACTAAAGTGTGGGACCTGCTCAGGATCTGGAGGTCCTTATCCGAATCTTATCTAAAACTCTAGGGGATGACAGAGTTTAGCAACCATTACTATTGTATCTTAGCTTAAATAAGGCAGTAATGATTAAAGAGAGGAAGCACGGCAGGCAGAACAGCAATAGCCAATTTGAGGTTTCAATACAAATAGCAAGTTTTGTTTCTCACCTCAAAGGATGGAGAGTCCCATCCTTAATCTGGAGCCCCAGGAACTTGAGTTTAACTGCCACATTCCCTTCCTGCCCCAGCATTCTGTGGTTCTGCGCAGAAGCCCACTTGCTTTTCTCAGGTTGGCTTCTACATTCTCTGCCCACGTTCCTCCGGCATCACTGGTTACTTCACAGACAGCTGTCAATCCAGCAGGATTCAACAGGCAAGTGACAAGTACCTCTAACTGTACTCCAACCTACTTAGAAACATAGGTCGGTGGGTGCAATAACCACACTGGCATTTGAACACAACTTGCTCCCACATCAGAAGGAAAATTGGTTTACTCCACCACTTGCCGTGACTCTGCAGGAAAACCTCATGCTGATAAGGATTATCCATCTCCCTCCATGAACATGGAAGTGATTTTGAGGGGTTGTGGGCAATCATTCTCAGCTACTTTCTGGGGGCTTCTGATAGATTAGATTTCAGCTCTTCAACAGTTTGAGCACTGGATACAAAGTAATTCCCCCAGCCTCTAGAACTGATGTGGGGAACAGTCAAGTTTACCAGTTTCAAAACCCTATTTTCACGGTTGATCTGTGCAGCTAGATAGTTATGGTTAAAGGTGTTTAAAATGGTTAAATGTCAACGAATGAAGACAAGGACGTGGTGTTCATCTTTTGTAGACCAATTAACTTCAATCTTTTTTTTTTTTTTTGAGACAGGGTCTCACTCTGTCACCCAGGCTGGAGTGCAGTGGCGTGATCTCTGCTCACTGCAACTTTTGTCTCTCTCCCAGGTTCAAACAATTCTCCTGCCTCAGCCTCCCAAGTAGCTGGGATTACAGGCATGTACCACCACGTCTAGCTAATTTTTGTATTTTTAGTAGAGATGGCCAGGCTGGTCTTGAACTCCTGACCTCCAGTGATCCACCCACCTCAGCCTCCCAAAGTGCTGGGATTACAGTCATGAGCTGCTACACCTGGCCATAACTTCAATCATTTTCTTTCATGAAAATGAAATGTCACTTTGAAAGTGTCAACCAAAGGAATCTGAGTAACAGCGTGAGTTAGCTGCTGGTAAAATAACTCTAGGTCTGAGGTTCTTGGTTGGGTCAGAACACTCCCCTTTAGGTACTAAAGAGAGCAGTAGTATGTATGGCCATAAATGTCCTCAGGCAGATCTTTTTTTTGAGACAGAGTTTCGCTCTTGTTACCCAGACTGGAGTGCAGTGGCACGATCTTGGCTCACCGAAACCTCCGCCTCCTCGGTTCAAGCCATTTTCCTGCCTCAGCCTCCTGAGTAGCTGGGACTACAGGCGTGCACCACCATGCCCAGCTAATTTGTGTATTTTTAGTAGAGACGGGGTTTCACCTTGTTGACCAGGATGGTCTCGATTTCTTGACCTCGTGATCCACCCGCCTCGGCCTCCCAAAGTGCTGGGATTATAGCACCGCGCCCAACCCAGAATCTCTTTAAACAGTTTTGCAATATCGTTTTCTCATTATAACCCAAGTTAACTCATTAATGTTATTTCTCCAGAAGCAAAGTTCTCTAGAATAAAACTGATGTCTTTCTGTAATTACCACTTACCTGCAGGCTGGACACTGCAGAGCAGCCTGGCTCAATGTCTCTGTCTGTCACTCCTTCCTCCCTTTTTAGGATAAGAATATCTCCCTTTCTGAAGCCCCAAGCCTTATTCTCCAGGGCCCAGATACTGAAGTCCAAAACTACAGAGAGCAACATAGAGGAGACAGCAAAGGTCATCCCCATTGCCCGGGCTTTACGAGGGACCAGGGCACAAGCCAGCATTTGCTTGGTAGGCTATCAAATGGGAGAAGGGAAAGGGGGAGGTAAATGTGAGGTTTCAACTTAAATCTCTGAAGTTCCTCGGCCATGGCTCACACCTGTAATACCAGCACTTTGGGAGGCTGAGACAGGCAGATCACCTGAGGTTGGGAGTTCAAGACCAGCCTGACCAACATGGAGAAACCCTGTCTCTACTAAATACACAAAATAAGCCTGGTGTGGTGGCACATGCCTGTAATCCCAGCTAGTCGATAGGCTGAGGCAGGAGAATCGCTTGAACCTGGGAGGTGGAGGTTGAGGTGAGCCAAGATCACGCCATTGCACTCCAGCCTGGGCAACAAAAGCAAAACTCCGTCTCAAAAAAAAAAATCTCTGAATTCCCTTGTTCATAGCAGTAATATTACCAGCTACCCCTTCTGGAGTGTTTAACTGTGTGCTAGCCCTTGGGGTGAACGCCTACATGCATCACCTTATTTAATTCTCAACATTCTTCTGGCCCTCTCCCTAATCACCAGACAATACAGTCTAAGGAGTCAATTTCCTTACCCTCTTCCACACTGCAGAGTTCTAAAGATCAAATAAAAAATAAAAGGAGACTCATGAAAGATCCGCACGGGTCCAAATAAGGAAAGGGAGCGAAACCTCCGTGAAGGGCATTTAATGTCAAAGAGAAACTGTACACCTGGGGCAGAGATGATGAGTGCGCCGGCCGCCAGCCTGACCTCCCTAGGGTGGAGGAGTGACAGCGGCAGCTTAAGCTTCCCCTCGTGCGGGGAGGACAGCACAGTGTCCACTCAGCCCAGTCATGCCCCCAGGCTTCTGCAGCCCAGGCACATTCAGTTCAGGGCTTTCCTGACTGTCAGGTCAAACGGCCCCCTTCCCTCCTCAGGCGGGGAACTTGTGGCAGCAGCTAGTCAACTGTGCAAGGTGAAGAAGCCTCGCTGGAAGGCAGGCCCGAAGTCCGGGAGGTGCAGATCTCGTCGTAGTTACTGGGCCAGAGATGATATTGGACTTCTCCTCAGTTTAGGGAAGGAGCCATTCCTGTAACTGTAGATGCTGCACAGATGCACGTGAATTAAGAGTAGGAGAGCACCGGGCCTCTTCTGCAACCAATCTACATTCCGGGCAAGACCCTGAAGACATCGGGGTTGAAGCTGAGTCCCTGCCACCTTCACAGGGCCTCTTGGCCTAGTGGCCAGGGTCATGGGCGGTCATCTAACCAACAAAGGCTCCAGACTTCCAGACAAGATCATCTCCTCCATCCAACCACAACCTCCCTCCTCCAGGCCACAGTGGACAGACAGTAAATATTCCCAAGTCCCTATATCCTGAGAGTCCTCGCCAGAGAAAAAGCCCCGCCTCTCACCCCCCAGGAGGAAAGAACCAGCAAAGTCTACTCCTCAAAGACCTCCAGCGTCTCTTAAATAAGCTTTCCTTTCCATTTGCATCTTTCCATTATTTAGCATCCATCCATTTATTTACACAAATATAAAATAGATTTATATAGATTTTTATAACATAGACCTTTGTGAGGCAGAGTGTGGGCGGTGCCGGAGCAGGCCCCCCGGGCTATTTGCAGATGTACTGGTCCACGGAGCAGCCGCCGGGCTATTTGCAGATGTACTGGTCCACGGAGCAGCCGCCGGGCTATTTGCAGATGTACTGGTCCACGGAGCAGCCGCCGGGCTATTTGCAGATGTACTGGTCCACGGAGCAGCCGCCGGGCTATTTGCAGATGTACTGGTCCACGGAGCAGCCGCCGGGCTATTTGCAGATGTACTGGTCCACGGAGCAGCCGCCGGGCTATTTGCAGATGTACTGGTCCACGATCTCAGCGCACTTCTTGCACTTGACGAAGCAGCACCAGTGGAACTTGCAGTGGCAGCGCTCCACCTGCATGCTCTTGAACTGGTTGTAGCCTCGGCCGCAGCACATGAGCTCACAGCCGTCCATGCCCTCTGAGGTTTTGTTGCAAAGGCGGCCCTGCGTGCCCAGGGAGCCCGTGCTCTCATTGCGCAGGCAGTAGTCAGGGCTGGGGTCCACGTACACAAGGTCCTCTGGAGTGGGCTGGGTGAAGCGGCTGTTGACCAGCTCCAGCCGGCCCTTTCGGGTGATGCGCATTGCGGCCGCACTGTCGTACTTCTCCTTCAGCCGGTCCCCTACCTTGCGGAACTCGGCCAGCTGCAGCCAGCAGGTCTTGAGGCTGCAGGACCCCGAGACGCCGTGGCATTTGCAGGCTACATCTGCCATCTTATACACAGCCTAGGGGAGGAGAAAGAAGGGTGTAAGAAGGAGGATCCCGAGGAAGAGGCCTTGTACAAAGGAGGGGCAGGAGGGTAGCGGAGAGACAGCTTTTCAAATGCATGCAAAGAGCTTTCCAGGATCCTCGGTGCTCAGTGGGAAAACATAAAAGGGGCACCACAGGAAAGAACGCTGGGGAGGCCAGGCAACTTGTCCCTATCAGCTGGAGGATGGCACTGAGGCACTTTCACTTTCTACTTTATCGGTTTCTCATTCCTCAAAACCTGTTACATATAATCAATGTATCGTTTTCACGATCAGAAAATAAAGATATTTCCATCTCAATCAAAGTCTCAAACAAATAAATAATAGCCAACAAAATGTAGCCAGGCACTATACCTGGTGCCTGTAGTCCCAGCTACTGGGGAGGCTAAGGAAGGAGGATCACTTAAGCCCAGGCATTTGAGGATGCAGCAAGCTATGATCCTGCCACTGCACTCCAGCCTGGGCAAGAGAGCAAGACTCCTTCGCTAGAAACAAAGCAAGACAAACCTAAACAGCAACATGTGTCCAGCTTTTGCATAAATAGGAGCACAAGTCAGAAAAAAGAATCCAATGTATCACAGAAATCACTGGTATAGCCCTGATCAGCTCAGAACGCTCCCTAATCCTGTCAAATACCCTGAGAATTCAATGGCCATGTTACCATGCAGTCACTAACTCCAGAGAGTCATCAGCAGTCTTGCCATAGCCATCCCATTTGTAAGCAAGACCACCTCCTTCCTCCCTAGCAGCCCCCAGGTGCCCCCTTGGGAGAACTGGAGTAAGGAAGTGAGGCCAGGTGAAGGGAATGGTAAGAGGCTAGGCCTGCCGGCAGGAGCAGTTCACCTGAGCAGGTCTACCCAAGAAGTCACAGGACCGCCACAACGTGGAGTAGACCGGAACTAGGGTTCTTATCCCAAATCAGAATGTCAAAGCAAGAGCAGACCAGAAAGCTGCTTACAAAGTGCTTTTCGGTGGCAGCAGACTCCTGCACCATGGCAACCAAATCTGGCGGCAGGCCCAGACGTGCAGATGGCAGGAAGAAAACGCAAGCCGGCTGCAGAACATTTTCTTACGCACGGCTACTGTCACCAACTGAGTCAGGACTCATTTTTCAAGGGTTTCTCTTAGATTTCTTTTCAAGAGCCCCTGGATTGTGTCTTTATTCAGAGCTAAGCAGAGACCATTGCAGGTGCAAGAGACAGCACAGTCATCATCAGGGCTTATGACTGTTGTCAAAAGTCTTCCTGAGTTTTTTCTGATATAGAATTATTCCCACTATTTTATGGTGGAGAAACTGAAGCTCTAGAGAGGCTCACTAACCTCCAAGGCCACCCAGAAGGGAGTCAGAATAACCAGCACTTATCCACTCCAATCTCGGGGCTTAAAGGTGGCTTAGAGCAGAGGAGGAAGGAAGGCTCTTCCCAAGGTTAAAAGCACCAGCACTTGGCCGGGCAACTCCAGGCCCAAGACATAAAGGAACTGACACCCCATTTCAACAGACACTTCAAAGACGGGACCTGCAATTACCCTTCTGGCCCAAATGCCCTGGGTCTGAGCTGCAGCCTGACATTCCTCTGGAAATGGTCCTTGGTTTAGAGAGGGATGGCAGGCATCTGGCACTGCTGAAAGGAGGAAACATTAAGGGTTGAAAACTGTGTACCTTGCCGCTTAGCTCTGGGGCACCAGATAAGCATCTCCTGCAGGGCAAACACTCAGGCTGAGCTAGGGAAGGAAAGGGGGAGCAAGACTCCAAGGACCAGAATTTTAGGAAAACATATCCGAGAGGAAGCACGCCAGTGCTCTCACATTTAAACACAACCCCCCATACTTCCCCTAATTCAAAGACATTGTAGAGACAGGAATAGCTGTATTTTTTTTCATATGTTACTATTGATAATATATATAAGCTCCTTTTGTAGGCAATGGGGGAAATGCCAATTTTCAGCCCAGACTGCTAACTCAAAAAGAAAGAAAAAATGCTTTGAAAAATGTTCCGGTTCCATGATCCGTCCCTGGAAAAGCGCCCTCTAAGCTAGTCTTCCACTTCCATCTAATGGTGTCCCAATCCCAAGCCTCCTGACAGACAGGAATGTTACAGAATTAGGCACCAGGCTTTTATCTGGAAAATGCTTAGAATCCCTTGAGTGGCAAAACACCGTCAACCCCTGGTGTTGCCATTACTGTCTAAGGAGCTTCTAGAGGCTCTTGTGGGCCAACAGAAACTTCTGGCAAAGTGGCCTAAGATCTACTCTGTGTCAAGACATCGGGTCCTGGATAATCCTTTTTTCTTTTTAATCTGGTTCTAAAATACTTGTCTATTTTCTGTCCCAGCCACCACTCAGTCCTTGCTGGAGAACCTTGTACGGAGGTGTGAGGAGGCAAGCAGTGACTACCTCCGGCCTCAGATGGTGACTGATGACTGAGGCCTGTCCCTTGGAGAGGGGATTAAAAAATAAAGAGGGCAGGGGTCGGGAGCACTTTGGGAGGCTGAGGTGGGCAGATCATGAGGTCGGGAGATTGAGACCATCCTGGCTAACACGGTGAAACCCCAACTCTCCTAAAAATACAAAAAAAAAAAAAAAAAAGAGAGAGAGAGAGAGAGAGGGGGCCAGGAATTCCCAGTCTGGAGCAGACACAGGCAAAGAGAGAAATAAGGAATTAAGGAAGAGGACAGGTGTGGGGCCTGGAGAAAGGGGCTAGGCGGGAAACAGGGAAGGTATGCAAGCCAGGAACAAGCCCAGTGGGAGGGGAGGCTGCCAGATAAGAGCCTGGACAAGCAAACGAACAATTAAGGGCAATAAAGTGAGATGGACCCAGCAGCAGGGGAAAGGGGAAGAGTAGATGTCACCTGCCTGGTCAAAGGCACCTGCGGACACCACAGCACAGCTCAGCAGAGCCACAAGCAGCCTCTGTGAATCTGACCTCTCCCAAGGGCGCCTGTCTGCATATGCACATGCCCCACCCAATACAGTACACAGAGGGTTAAAACAAAGAGGTAGAGAGGGCGATCCCTGCCCGCAGGAACCTACCGCCAACCTGCCAAGGCAGAGCAGGGAATACTCCCAGAGAGCATGAACGCCCGAGCGAAGTTCAGGTGGGAGAGAGACGACTAACAGTGAGGACTGGGGCGCGCAGTGTTCCAACCAGGACCTCAACAACTGGATCCACTTCAGGCATTCCAGAGATCAAGTGTGGATTTTAACCACTTCGCTGACGTCTCTGCTCCTCAGGCTCAGACACCCAAAGGCGTGGGCAAATGCACTGGGAGACAGGATGCCTGAGAGGACTGGGTGGCTCCACACCCGGCCTGAGCAGAAGTCACCTGAGATGGCTCCAACCTCTCCGCCCTGGGTTAGCCCATAGAGATGAGCAACTACCAGTACTCCTCACATCACCACAGGCTGACACAACATTACATACACACTTTTCTGCAAAACAAAAGTAGTCTCTGGATAGGGGAAGTGTAAGAAAGACCCTGGGCAAATTACCCACTCTGGTCTCTACCTGATGTCCCATGCGTTATGATGCTATGCCCACAGGTGCACTACATTCTACCCAGCCATACTACAAAATCCCCTTTCAGACAAAAGACACTTCCTATCCCATTTCTTTGATATGTGCTCCAATACATGAGTTTTTTTTTTTCCGAGACGGAGTTTCACTGTTGTTACCCAGACTGGAGTGCAATGGCACGATCTTAGCTCACCGAAACCTCCACATCCCAGGTTCAAGCTATTCTCTTGCCTCAGCCTCCCAAATATTGGGGATTACAGGCATGTGGCACCACACCTGGCTAATTTTTGTATTTTTAGTAGAGACGGGGTTTCACCATGTTGGCCAGCCTGGTATCGAACTCCTGGCCTCAGGTGATCCTCCCGCCTCAGCCTCCCAAAGTGCTGGGATTATAGGCGTGAGCCACCGCACTGGCCGCCATTCTCATATTTTAGTGAGTTCATCTTTGTTATGATACCTCACCTGTGACCTAGAGCCAGCTGGCTTGACATAGACCCCAGTGGGGACAACACTCAGAGAAAGAAGTCTGTGCTATTTCCCAAGAGGTCTTTTTCCAGGATAAAGAGCCTCTCACCACCCAGTGCTCAGACCTCAGCTCTTTCTCAGGGGAAACCCAGTGCACCCCCATGCTGCCCTCTGTCCCTGTTGACACTGGCTATGCAGAAGCAGCAAAAGGCAGAGCTTCCTGCAGGCAGGCCGTCCAGTCTTGTGTGGCAGAGGCAGCCATGATGGGGGGGCGGGTAGCAAAAAAAAGAGGAGGCCGGATCTGTGGAACCAGATGCAGGCAGAGGGGCCACACTCTCCAGCACCCCACCTAGGGGCCATGACGCTGCTGCCCAGGTGTGCTCTGCACGTACAATGAACCAAGCTCCCCTCAGACTGTATTGTTGTCCCTACTGAAACTGAGGCTGAAAAGGTGGTCACATCTTACACGAGACTGGGGAGGCTGCTTGAGCCTTAAACGGGCGGCTGTCTTCTCACACTTCTACTTAGCTTTAAAAACTCACAACACAGACGGGTGTTTGTCATTAGTACTTGAATGCGCTTTTTGACTGGGTTTCTGCATGACTGGGTTTCTGTGACAGCAGCTCTTAAAAGACTCTGTTTTTACCTGAGCCTTTAACACACCATAAACCCTAGATAAGATCTGAGAGCGTAAACATCCACAGGCCTTATCTGTTCAAGTGGCAAAGCAGGGGTGGCCAAGACAAGAGCTCTGCTCTAATCCTATGTCTGGAATTCGGATCCCAACATTGCAGCTAAGCCCTCTAGGGACTGTGGAATAATAAATAAAGTGTAAAAAAAAAAATGCCCCTTTTCAGTGGGGCATTCTGAAAAGGATTTGTTCAATAATGTGGACATCTAAATTTGCAATTGTAGGGAAGAATCTTCACGGTCAGACTAGTCTGCTTCCCTCATGGCCAGGCCACGGCTGGTGGCACAGCCCGGGAGCAGCCCCACGGGTCTGCAGTGCCGGGAGGCCGGGGAGGCCCAGCTTACCCTGCGACCCGCCTCGTTGTTCTGCAGGTTCATGAGCACGCGGCCCTGCTCCTCCGATCCCTTAGCAAAGTTCTTCTCTCGCTCCCGGGCATCCACGAACTCCTTTGCGAAGCGGTAGCCGTACTCCACATTGTCCCCACAGCCGCCCCACAGCCAGTCCCGGGGCAGGTCCTTGGGCCGCGCCGTCCTGCTGCAGCCACAGGTCGAGAGCTCGCCCTCGCGGCAGGCCCGGCTGATGGCGTTGACCACGCCCGCGGCGCTCACCGCGTAGGTGAAAGCGGTCTCTCGGCTACCTGCAAGAGGAGGCAGGGGCAGTAAGGGGGTGCACGCTCCTCTCCCGGAGACCTGTCCTGCTCCCCATCGCCCCCAGCTGACCTGCACACCACAGCGTCCGCCGACACTCCTGGGGCAGATCAGGAGGAGCCCTTTTCACTTCCCAGAGCTCGGATGCTTGAAAACGTCTTTATAATGGGCTGAAATCGGCTCAGTTTTACTTCCGCCTCTTGGCCCTAGCTCAGCCCTCTGAAACTACACAGAATAAAACAAGTCCCTCGGCCTCGGCCTGCACTAATACCCACTGCAGAAGAGCCTGCCTGACCTGTAGATTCCTGGGAGGGAGACCTCAGCGGAGGGGAGAATGGGCAGTCGGAAACACACGGAAGTGGGAGTCCAACGGAGTGAGGCTGAGGAAGAAATCGTGGGATCGATGATAGGACGCTGTATCCGAGCAGGAACGTCTGCCGCATAGATGCCACTTCTCACCGCTCTCTGAGCTACGCATCTGTCTGTCTGTATTGCTGCCATTATCTAGCCAGATAGTGGCAGAGGCCAGGACTCGAAAGCGAACTAGAATTACAGTGTCCAAAAAATCCAAGCGGTCTCCCCTCTCTCTTCCATAGGGATCCACACTGCCTCCTAACTCAGGAGCACTGGGAATCACACCTACAGCACCGACCATTCCAGGCATTCATCACGGTCCCTCCAAATACCCAGATCATTTTCCAGTAGAAAACCCCAACTATGTTCCCCTTTACTGCTGTGGCGAACGACCTGAAAATTCATATAATGTATGTTCTATCCCAATAAAATGCCTGTTTCACGATACTCAGCTATCAGGGAAATGTAAGCCCAAATCACATCCACTAGGATGGTTATCATCAGAAAGATATCCAGTAACAAGTTGGAGAGAATACAGAAAAACCAGAACCCTCCCATATTGTCAGTGGGAAGGGTAAGCAGTGCTGCTGCTTTGGAAAACAGCCTGGGAGTCTAAGGCTAACAGTCAACAGGTTAAACGTAGAGTCCCCATGAGACCCAGCAAGTCACTCCTAAGAACATAGGCAAAGCTCCTCCTTTTGCTGTGCTCAGCTTTCTTGTGCTGTGCAGGTGTTGTGTTATTTTTACAGATTGAAGGTTTGTGGCAATCCTGCTACACACCCATCACTGCTACTTTTCCAATAGCATATACCTACTTTGTGTTTCTGTGTCAGCATTTTTTAGCAATAAAGTATTTTTAATTAAGATGTGTATCTTTTTAAAAGATGGAATGCTGTTACATACTTAATAGACTATAAGATAGTGTGAACATAACTTTTACATGTGCTGAAAACCAAAACATTCATTTTATTGCAATATTCACTTTATTACAGTACACTGGAACCAAACCTGTGCTATCTCAGATGTATGCCTTTATACCCAAGAGCAGTGAAAACACATGTCCACATAGAAACTTACTCATGAATGCATCTGGCAGCATTATTCATAAAAGGCAAAAAAAATGGACATAACCAAACTGTCCATCAATGGGTAAATGGGTAATCAGAATGTGGTATTATTCATGCAATGGAATATTATTTAGCCATAAAAAGTGGCTGGGCATGGTGACTTACACCGGTAATCCCAGCAACTTGGGAGGCCAAAGCAGGAGGATCACTTGAAGTCAGGAGTTTCAGAACAGCCTGGCAACACAGCAGCACCCCATCTCTAAAAAAGCATTAAAAAAAATTAGGCCAGTCATGGTGGTTCATGCCCGTAATCCTAGCACTTTGGGAGGCTGAGGCGGACAGATCATCTGAGGCCAGGTGTTCAAGACCAGCCTGGTCAACATGGTGAAACCTGTCTCTACTAAAAATATAAAAACTAGCCAGGCGTGGTGGCGGGCTCCTGTGATCCCAGATACTTGGGAGACTGAGACAGGAGAATCATTTGAACCCAGAAAGCATAAGTTACAGTGAACAGAGATCACACCATTGCACTCCACCCTGGGCAACAAGAGTGAAACTCCATCTCAAAAAAAAAAAAAAATTAGCTGATATGGTGGCATATGAGTGTAGTCCCAGCTACTCAGGAGGCTGAGGTGGAAAAACTGCTTAAGCCCAGGAGTTGGAGGTTGCAATGAGCTATCACTGCACCACTGTACTCCAGTCTGGGCAAGAGTGAGAACCTGCCTCTAAATATATATATAGACTACAACACAGATGAACATTTAGATCATCATGCTAAGTAAAAGGACCCAGTCGCCAAAGGTCACGTATGATATAATCCCATTCATAAGAAATGCCCAGGCCGGGCGTGGTGGCTCATGCCTGTAATCCCAGCATTTTGGGAGGCCAAGGCGGGTGGATCATGAGGTCAAGAGATCGAGACCATCCTGGTCAACATGGTGAAACCCCGTCTCTACTAAAAATACAAAAAAAAAATAGCTGGGCATGGTGGCGCGTGCCTGTAATCCCAGCTACTCAGGAGGCTGAGGCAGGAGAACTGCCTGAACCCAGGAGGCGGAGGTTGCGGTGAGCCGAGATTGCGCCATTGCACTCCAGCCTGGGTAACAAGAGCGAAACTCCATCTCAAAAAAAAAAGAAATGCCCAGTAGAGGCAAATCCATAGAGAGAAAGAACAGTGGTTGCCTGGCGTTGCGGGTTGGGGTGTGGAGAGTGGGGCAGCTCACGGGAGTGTAGTTTCTCTATGGAGTGGTGAAAATGTTATGGAATTAGATCATGGTGACGGCTGGGCAACCTGTGGCTGTGCTAAAAGCCACTGAAGTGTGCACTTTAAAATGGTGAATTTCATGGTATGTGAATTACATATCTTGATAAAGTTGTTATAAGGAATAATAAATTATATTCATAGGGACTTAGAAATGGACAGAAGGGATTACAGGCATGAGATCAATCCTGATCTCGGAGATTAAACCAGGTAGAGTCCCACAATCCTGTCTTGGAAGGTAGACAGAGAAGCAGTCTGAAATCAATCAATAGGCCAAGAAAAATCTCCCCCTTTGCCCTGCTTCTTGATGATCTGGGCATGACACAGTGAAGTTTACAAGCAGACCATGCTGAGTGAGTTTGTTTTTCTCTGTTAACCAGTGGCTGGCTTTTGGTCAGTTGTGAAGTAAGAACAGCCCAAGAAAAACGGAAATGATGGCAGGAAGTTACACTCACGATTCAGCCAATAAGACCTGGTCTAGTGGGCTCAGAATGTGACAAGGAGCACGGGGGGATGGTAAGATGGCCAAAGAGGCTCTCAGGCGGGAGGGTCTGGGCCCCACTTTGAGGAGCTCATCTCCTGAAAATGCAGCCTCAACTGCCTGACGTGGCATCCTGGAACAGGAGGGAGCCTCCCAAGCTTCAACCTCGAGCTATCCTCCATATCCACCAGGAGCTTTCCTTCTACAGAGTTCCTCAGAGAAGCAGGCTGGATTTTCAAGACAACCCATTCCATCTTTTTGTAATGACTCTAATCACCAGAATACTCCTTCTTGTATTAAGCTGAAATATGTCTCCTGTGATTTCTGCCTGCTGCGGATGCACTGTGCTATAATCCCTTTCCCATTTGACAGCTCTTCAGTGTTTGAAAACAACTAATCAGCCTTTTACATTTTCACTTTTCCAAGCTACATATGTCTGATTTATTTCTATCATTCTTTAGCAAACATATTTTTCAGAGTTGAATCAGCCCTTTCAGAATTGCCTTCAGCTGAACCTGACGCACACCAGGCCTGACGCACTCTGACAGCTCTAACCTGTCCTTACTCTCTGGGATCCCAATTTGTCCTCCGCTGCACTGCCTGCCTCTTTCAGTTGGGTCTCTATCAGAAGCTGGGTGTGGGTAGCTCTGACTTCACGGGGCAGCCTTTGGGCCCTTGGGTAAGCCCAGTGAGTACCCTCTACTGTTGCTATCCTCGGCAAGAAAGGGATAATTTGGGGCTTCAGAACGGGTATGCAATGTAGTGGGTTATCTACATATGCAACAGTTCAGAGTTGAAACTCTAACCATCTCAAGGATAAATGGCTAAAAAAAAAAAGCAGCCATGGAGCTACTAGAGGGACATGCACCTTTCCCCTAAAGGAGACAGCAGAGCAATTTCATGCCCTCTGTCTTGCATAGCAGCCCAAGGTGCCTCCAAGCTCCCTAGGCAGGGGCTGGGCGACTCGGAGGCTCCTCCGAGGGGCTCTGCCGCCCTCTGGTGACTGACTTTTGCTACTGCTTCAAAGGCGAAAGGAAGTCTTAGAAAGTCATTTTCAACACAGGGCAAGGACCGACCAGGAGCTACTCTGGGCTCAGTGGGGAGGAAGGGAGGACAGCCTCCTAGGTAGCATGAGCCTTCAGGGAAGCTATAAAAAGGAAGGAGGAAAATGAGGCAAACAGAAGGGTTCCTTTTTGTAACAGAATAGGGCACAGAGAGATGGGCTGTCTTCGACAAAGCGTACTTTCTCTGAGCACCTAGGGCACCCCTAAACCCAGCGCGGTGTCTTTGCCTGCCAACCCCTTTCTTTCCTAAAGTACCCCCTCACTCTGAGGCCTTTATGCACATGAAACACACATGAAAAGGATCTAGCCAATAGCAGGCCTACATTAGGTCCCCAATAAACATGAACTCCACTCCAGAGACTAGAGAACACTCTGCACCGAGGCTGTCCTAGTTTCCTTGCCCAAAACACAGGGCAGGGAGTGCTGCCGAGACTTTCACCAGGGAGAAGAGGCAAATACCAAGTGGATTTGAGAAGAATCAATAAACTGTGAGTGAGTCACACTAAGCCCCCAAGTCCACTCTTTTGGGAAAGCAGCCCCGTAAGACTGTCCCAGGAACACCAGGACCTTCTTTTTATATATCCTGAGTTACTGCTGAAGGAAGCAAGAGAGCAGCAAGTTTCAACATGTACTTTCCCCATCTTTAATTCCCTCTCCCTCTTAAAAAAAATTTTTTTTATAGAGACAGGGGTCTCACTATGTTGCCCAGGCTAGTCTTGAACTCCTGGCCTCAAGGAATCCTCCTGCCTCAGCCTCCCAGAGTGCTGGGATTACAGGCGTGAGCCACTGCCTCGGGCCCTACCTCTCAATATGGGACAGAGAGGGTAGGGAAAGAGGTCTGGAATAAGTGGGAGGGGGAAGGAGCCTTCCAAGTATTCTCCCTAAGAGAGGAGCAGGAAATCTCCACCTCCCCAACTCCGCTGCCACGCTAAAATCCCTCTCTGGGGAGACTCCAGCCTCAGGTAACCTTTTGAAGGGAGGTGTTCTGGGAGAATGTCAGGCTGGAGGAACACAGCGTTCTAACACTTCCCTTTTATGGCCCTGGGGATAAGACCCAGTAGAATAGGGCCGGATTTCTCAATTTCTCGCCAGAGAGGGGAGGATTGCATTTCAAAAGGACGTAAAACAATTAGACCTCACATCACACCTCCAGCTAAGCAACTGGGTAGCCCAAGAATCCTTGGCCAGCAGTGGGAGAGGGGAGGGGACAGGAATCCAGGAAGACTTGGCCCTCTCCCTCTCATCTTTGTCTTTCGTCTGACCCCTTCCCCCACGTTCCCACGTCCCTTTCAAATGAAGACGCTGGGACTGGACGAGGTTAGGGTGGTGACAGCTATCACCAGTTTGGCCCGATATTTCTATCCCTCTTTGGAAGGTTCAAGTGGAAGAGGCAAAAATCCTATAGACACTCAGGGCTGCAATTTCTCGTTTTCTACCCAAGGCTCTTCTTTGCACTGAGAGACAAAGGCAGTGGCGGTGGGCGGGCCTCCTAATCCACTCTAAATCAACTCAGATATTCTGCCCCCTCTCAGGGCGAGTCCCAAGCAGCCTGCCCCAGGTGAACCTGGAAGGCAGAGGACTAGGGAATGCCAAGCTGTGGTTACTGCAGTGTCCCAGAGCCCGCGGCCTCGTGTGCCTCTCTCAGTTGCCAAGCCTAGAGAGAACCCCATTAGGCTCCATCTGGGCTCTCCCTGTGCCAGTCCTGAGGGAGCTTAATTGCTCCCAGACAAGATGAGTGCAGTTCCTTAGCGCAGCCCTCTTACCTATCTGCATGACTCTCCCAAAGACAGACGCGTTGTCCACTGTGCTGCAGTTCCACCGCCGCTGCCGGAACTGGTGCTGGCATTCCTTGATGCCTGTCTTGGCTCCCTCCCCTATGTAGGCCATGTGCTCCTGGTACAATTGGCACAGCTTCCTCTGGCCAGGGGAGAGCCCAGGAAGCTGGCTGCACACAGGCTGGGCACCGATGATAAACATCTCGGGTCTCTGCACCGGGTTCATAGCTAATGACCTACAACAGCAATCCAGAAAGGGGAAAACAGGGCCAGGAGTGAGCATACGCCTGTGTGCAGCACGAAGTCATTCATTCAACACATTCATTGAATGCTTCCCTGTGTACAAGGTGTTGGAAAGAAAAATGAGTAAATCAGAGTGCCGGCCTTCGAAGGACAAATGAATGAAACTGAGGCTTGCGAGACTGCCAAATGCCTCAGACAGACTCGAGCTCCCGGATCTGCTGTGATCAGATAGGAAAATAGCTCTTATGGCTGAAGAGAAGCCTTTATAAGGAGATGGCCAGAGTTTGAACTGACTCTTAAGAATGAGGGAGCAGGCAGATAAGATGACAAGGGGTGGGGGGCAGCTCTTCATTATAGGTAGAGGGCAAAAAGAGCCAAACCTCAATGGGAGAGCACAGGCCTCATTCAAGGAGTGGGAGTGACTGGTTCAGGGCAGCCCAAGTGCAGGATACACCATGGAAAGCAATCAATTCCTTTCCGCGGAGCTCCCTGGTGCCTTTAAAATCCAATCGCTTTCCATACATCACAGTCTATTCCCCATGTTTGCACTGCCACATCTAACTTCCTCATCCACTCTTCACCAGTTCAGAGGCTCTGCCTTTTGCTCTCATCTACCAGCCACATAGAACGTTAGATGAGAAGGCTGCGGATTTGCCATCTGAGTAAAAATGCCAGTGGCAGAGACCATGCAAAATAGGTGGTGATCGCCTGCCATTTCCATGTCAGCTTGGCAATGACAGTAGCCTTTAAAACAGAAGAAGAAAGCCACCCATGGTGCTGTGAACCCCTCACCTGCTCTTCAGACTTAGAAAAGAGGAATTCTATCTCCTACCAGCAAAACACACAAAACCAGGAACAAAAACTACCAAGTACTGATATTCTTGTTGACCCAAGAGCAATTTCTAACAATTCATGGGCATGAGGGTAGGTCCAAGGAAAAGGGAATGTGGACAGGATTAGAGAAAAAAAACCAAATGAATGGGTCCTTTAGCCTCCGGGAACCCTTGCAAAGGTAAAAGTTCTTGAGAGAGACACAGAGCATTCTTAGTTTTCCTGGGATAAAAGAGGCCCTTAGTATTCCTAGGAATCAAGGAATAATGGTGACACATGGTGCCCTTCCTTCTCATCTCAGCTGCTGAAGGAGACCTCAGGCTGTGCAGGCAGGACCTCAGCCCCTCTTACTCACCACCAGGAGTTGGCTTCTATCAGAAGCTGAACCCAGCTGGACAGCAGAGCAGCTGTGAACAGCAGCAGCAGGCTGGGCATGGTTGGCCTCAGCCCTGCCCAGTGCCCTGGGACTGACAGCTTCCAGAGTAGGGCTCCCTGGAGAAAACAGAAATGAAGAGATAGTCGGTGTGGAAACTCAGCGGATAAGGGCAGACAGGCGCCAGGGGTGAGGTGGAGAAAAACGCACTGATGCTTACGCTGCTGGCTCCCCACAAAGAAGTTCAGCCTTTCCAGCCTCCACCTCCCGCCGCTCATCTTCCCACCCTAGGGCTTCTGTCTCTTACCCCAAACTGTGGGAACCCTGCGCAGGACCTAATTCCCAAAGAAATAATGAGCTGAGAAACCAGAGAGAGAAATGAAAACAAATCATGCCACGAGCGGAGCTTGGGCCGTTCCTCCGTTGGGGATCCGGGAGGCCCCTCTGTGGCAAAGCACACCTGCCCTGCTGCAGAACATCCACAGAAATGAGGCCCGTCCCGCCCAGTCCAGCCCCTCCCTGCCTCTCACTCCAGCCCAGAGGCTTACTCCTCTGAACATCAGGCTCTCCTTTGTGAAATTAAAAAATGTTGGTGAATTGAATTTACCTGCGCCCAAAGAGGAGTTTTCCCTCTCCATCTGTACCCTTCTCACCCTCAGCAAGTTTTCCGAGTCCCAGCCCTTGTTTACAGATCTAGGACTTTTCACTTTCGCAAGTCACCTTCTTCGAGAAATGGAAAAGCTACACCGCGAACTGCCGGCCCAGAAAGCTTTGGTGGCTGAGGTGGTGCCTCCCTAGGCGGCCCCTGCCCCTCCTGGCATCGTGGCCCTCAAGGGCGGCACTGAGCACCCCAGCAGCTGAGCCAGGGACACTGCCAGCGCCAGGCGGCAGTTCTGGCATCAAACGCCTGAGCTGAGAACACATCTTCCAGAAGCCAGAGCCCTTCCCTGGTAGCTCCCAAGTCTCCCACCTCTTGGCTTCCTGCCTGCTCTAACTCAGCCTGTGCCTCTATCCATCCCCAAGAACCCCGGTCCCCAGCCCCTCAGACCCACGGCAGATCCGTGCTGCTGGACCCCAGAGCAAGCCTGCGCCTACAGACACACGCCCCCTGCGGCTCCCCCGCAGTCCTCCCGGGCCTCCAGCTGGGCGTGACCCGCGCCTCCTGAGGCCCCGGACCTGATGCGCGCAGCGCCGCGCGCCCCGGCTCACTGCGCACTCTCGCGCGTCGGCGTCCCCAGGCTTTCCGGGAGGGGGCGGCAGGTGCTTCGGGTCATCAGCCCAGTAAATATTTTTGTGCTGGGACCACCAGGAGAGGGAGGTGGCCCGAGCAGGGTCCAGGAGAGCTGGGACACAGCCTTTCCCCCACCCCCTTTGGGTTTTCCTTTTCGAAGTCTCAGCTGGGGCGAGGGCATCAACAGGCAGGTGTGTGGGGCCGGCAGGGGACAGATCAAAGAAGAAACTTGCTCCTTCCCCTTTGTCATGCAGAGCCAGCTCGGAAATGAGCCGGCCTCCAGCCCGGGACTAACAGCTCCCGCACCCGACTCTCCTCAGACCTCCCCTCCTCTGGAGGATGCCCCTCCTCCTCCCCTCTTCCCCATAAATCCTCCCCGTCCCCCAGGGAGGGAGGTATGTGAATGCGCCGACTGGAACCGGGAGAGATGGAGCAGAGATAGGGCTGGCACCAGGAGCTAATGGTTTTATGGATGGGAGGGGACCAGGTCCCGGGTAGGGAGGACGAGAGAAAAGCTTCAAAGCGATTCCTTGTCCAAATATCCTTAACTCCACCTACCAGTCCTTCCCGGGATTGCAAAGCTAAGGTTGCCCCAGGCCCTCCAGCTTCTCCAGCCTTTTCCCTGCGCCCCCGCAGCCTCCTGCCCAGCCCGTGCCCCGCCCACCACCCTGCGGCCTGCAACACCTACTCTCCCAGGGGACTTTGATCCTCGCACATCTCCACCGCCAGGTAACAGAGTTCTTCTTCCCCACCTGTGACACTTGTCCCTCACACCAGTGCCTCTCACCTCTGTCACCCTTCCATCAGGCTCCAGTGAAATCTCTCTGGCCCTGCAGGTCCTAGTTTCAGCCCAGGCTACATTGTTTTCTGAGCCAAAGACAGGCGTTGGTCCCTGCTGATGGTCACTGTGGCTTTGACTGCCTCAAGGACAGTCTGACAAGGCAACTAGGGCCAGACTTCCCAGGAGCTGCTAATCCCGCCCTCAGTGCCTAATAAATATATATGGAGGCAGGAATCACTCCCTCAGCTGTTTCCACTCCACCCCTCGACCCCCGCCCCTGCCCTCAGCTTTCCACCAGACTCTCAGCCCATTAAAAACGTTTTTAAAATTGCCCCCAAAAATGGCTCTAACATGTGCAGTGGCTTGCTTCTTTCTCTGACTTCCAGAAGTGTGGTACGTGAAACTGAATTCCCCCATACACACGTGGGTGCATGCTCTCACACATACGCACACACACACCAGCCCCCTCAGGATGCTCTCTATCCTGGCAGACAGATGCAAGCCAGTCCTTGAGTGGTCACAGAACTGAAGCCAGGCAGCTGTTTGTCCTCTCCTACATTCTTGTGCTGGGGTGGGCTGGGGTGGGAGGAGAAAGGACCCCTTAAAGGGTAAATGCTGGCGACTGGTTTCATCAGCATGGGCAGAATGGGAACTTGTTGCCTCAACCCAACTGGGGCGGCAGGAAGCTGTATGGGGGCTGATGGTTTTGTGTTAATGAGCAGGTCACATTGGGACCCCGTTTATGGGTCACTATTGAGATTTATAGCAGGATTGAACCAGGGGGAGGCTCTCCGTTGTATAGGAAGAAAGATCTGGTAAATGCCCAGCAGGCAGGGAAAGCTCATTGCAATAACAACTACAGACTTCGCCAGAGATCTAAAAAATTTCCCCTTCCTAAGACACAAATGCCAATTCAAACGCACCAAACACAGTAGTTAAGAATGTGGGGCTCTTTCGGAGGCTGAGGTGCACAGATTATCTGTGGTCAGGGGTTCGAGACCAGCTTGGCCAACATGATGAAAGCCTGTCTGTAATAAAAAACACAAAAATTACCCCGATGTGGTGGCACACACCTGTAATCCCAGCTACTTGGGAGGCTGAGGCAGGAGAATTACTTGAACCCATGAGGTGGAGGTTGCAGTGAGCTGAGATCGCACTACTGCACTCCAGCCTGGATGACAGAGCAAGACTCCATTAAAAAAAAAAAAAAAGAGGCCGGGTGCGGTGGCTCAAGCCTGTGATCCCAGCACTTTGGGAGGCCGAGGAGGGCGGATCACAAGGTCAAGAGATCGAGACCATCCTGGTCAACATGGTGAAACCCCGTCTCTACTAAAAATACAAAAAATTAGCTGGGCATGGTGGCATGTGCCTGTAATCCCAGCTACTCGGGAGGCTGAGGCCGGAGAATTGCTTGAACCCAGGAGGCGGAGGTTGCGGTGAGCCGAGATCGCGCCATTGCACTCCAGCCTGGGTGACAAGAGCGAAACTCTGTCTCAAAAAAAAAAAAAAAAAATGTAGGAATCAGTGTCTCTATTCTTTAGTAATGACTGGAAGGCCGTGGGGAGGGAAAGATGCAAAATTCCCAATAGGGATCCTTCCACAAGCCAGAATGAGCTGGTCAGACATCTGCTCTGCTCCTCCTCTTCATTCAGCCATTCAGCCATTCAAAACATTCATTAAACAAATGAATTACCCACTGGGTGCCTAGTATGTGCCAGTTACTGCTCTAAGTGCCAGAGACATGGCAGCAAACAAATACATAATACATTGGGTCCAGTGAATACTATCAGAAAAATAAAGAGGGGACCAGAATCAAGTATGGGAAGGGGTGGTAGTACACTTGGTGTAGGGTTCTTGGGAAGACTACTCTCTGAAATATCTGTGCCCCCAAAACCACTGTGTAGGCAGGATGGTGGGAGGGGGTGTAACCCTGCTACACATCCAAAACCCCCTCTAGGGTACGTCCAAGAGACCGCACTGCCCCACTTCACCATCACAACTGAAGAGGTGCGTGTTTGAAGACAGGAAAGCAAGGATCTCTTCCTTTTTCTGCTAGTCACCCATTTTCATTCTCTTAAGGGGCCACATCCATCAAGCCTAGAGTTGAGACCTAAAAGAGGGCCCGGAACAGGTACAGCTGAGCCCCCAAGCATGTCTGTACTTTCTATCGTACTTCAGAACAGTGCCTGAAAAAAAATCCCCGCCCCACAGACAGACAAGGGGTGATTCCAGGTCCTCAGCCGTTCACACAGTCCCACTGAAGCCTAGGACTGACTTCCCAGTGCCCAGAACTCAAGCAACTCCAGACTCCTTCGGGAAATGTAGCCACCTCCCACTCCTGCCCCTCTCCCCAGACAGGCAGGCTCACATCTAGAAACCTATGCAGAAATAGCCATGAGCCTACACGGGCACCTCTTCAAGGTTGCTGAGCAGGCTCCTTTGACATTGAGATCATACCTTCCAAGAGGCCTTCCCTGATCATCCCTCCCAGAGAAGGTCCCTACTGCCATTATTTTACTTCTAATTTCTCACATGCTTTTTGCCGCAGCCCTTAATGTGACATGGAACAGTGTGGCATGCTCATCTTCTGTTGCGGTTTTGTTTCTTGCCCTCAAAGGCTCTGGGAATGGTCTTATTTACCATTTTCTCCCCAGTGGATAGGATAGTATACAGGGGTATGTGGGAGATGCTAGAAAAATATTTGTTGAGTGAAAGAAAATAAAAGCACTCTTACTCGGTCATCCAATGGGGAGCTATTGAATGTGTGATTTAAAAATACACTTGTGGCCAGGTGCAGGGGCTCACATCTATAATCCTAGCATTTTGAGAGGCCAAGGTGGGAAGCTTGCTTGAGTCCAGGAGTTCAAGACCAGCCTAGGCAACACGGTGAGACCCCTGTCTCTACAGAAAATTTAAAAGTTAGCCGAGCATGGTGGTGCACGGGAGCCTGAGGCCAGAGGATTGCTTGAGCCGAGGAGTTCAAGGCTGTAGTGAGTCGTGATTGTGCAATTGCACTTCAGTTTGGGTGACAGATTGAGACCCTGTCTCAAAAAAAAATAAATAAATAAAAGAAGAAGAAGAAGCTCATGCCTGTAATCCTAGTACTT